AGGCTAATTGTTTGAAGCCCAACCAATTCAATTAAACAAAAAAAGAAAGAAAAAAAAAACAGGGCAAGATACGCGACATTTCTGTCTTTTAAAAGCGCCTGAAAGGCCGTCCTGTCCAGATTTGACAGGTAGCCTTTACAAAAACAAAAAAGAAAAAAGACATTTCTGTCTTTTGTGCACGTGGTGAGTACTGGAGCGAGGCCCTGTCGCCGGATTTGCTGCCCTACTACGCACAGAATGTTCAACCGTACGTGTGCCGCCGCCGGGACATAAGTACGTTCTCAGCCCATGCGAACTGAACAGAAGAGGGCGAGAGAAGGGAACATAAGAGGCGGTAAGACGAGAAGAGAGAGGGGAAGACGGAAGAGGAGAGAAGAGAGGAGAGAAGAAGAGCAGCGAAATAGCTGACAGTGAGAGACGAGAAGAGAAGAGGAGAGAGAGAGTCGAGGACGGCAGAGAGGCCGAGTGCAAGCACAGTCCAAGTCGTCGAACTTATGGAGATAAGCAGAGCCGCGCGCAGTGTCCTGGGGGGAGCCTACCTCCGGACTATAGGCTCGATGATGGCTTTCTGGTTGATGATGCCTCTTCTGCTCGTGACGGTGATTAACACAGATGGTGACAGTCACCATGGCGGCGCCGACGGCTATGGAGGTTCCCGCATTTTGCTCGCTGCTGCCTCTCCAACTGAGTCGAGGAGCTTTTCCGGGAGGAACCTGGCGATGGGCCGGACAGGAGGAGGAGGGGGAGGAGAACAAGTGTTGGCAGCAAGAGACTCCATGCACGAGTCGACAGCTGAGGGCGCTCAAGCATGGTCAGGATCATACTCCGAGCACGCCGCCCCTCTCCATCGGCGGCGTTCTTCGAACCGTCGGCTGGCTGCGTCAACGTCGACTCTCCGTGGCGGAGGAGGAAGCTTCCATGAAGGTGCTCGACGAGGGCGTGCTCTTCAAACCACCACAGCGAACTGGGTGACTGCTCACAACGCAGCGAGGACTAGTGTCGGTGTGCCTGGACTCAGCTGGAACAACACAGTGGCGTCTTCTGCAGATAGTTGGGCCAGCACGCTCGCTGCCACTTGCCAGATGTACCACGCCTCAAACACCGGCTACGGGGAGAATCTGTACATGGCCTGGAGTTCGGGAGCTATTAGCATCACGGCATCAGGTGTTGTGGGCGCTTGGGTGTCTGAGAAGGCCTATTACAACTACGCGACCAACACCTGTGCGGCCGGTAAGGTGTGCGGTCACTACACCCAGGTCGTCTGGAAGAACACCAAATTCGTCGGGTGTGCTATCAAGTCCTGCAAGTATGGGTCGTATAACGCACAGATCGCCGTCTGCCGGTACAGCCCACCTGGCAACTATGTAGGCCAAAAGCCCTACTGACCGTCCGGTTTACTCTCAGACTGATTACAGTGAGAGAGTACGCACACACGGAGCTTGTTCTCGATGCATCTGACCACAATTACGGCAAGGGTGAGGGATGAATCGGACTGCAATCACGTCCAGAGCTTTGTGGAGAAAGTCTGTACTGTGAGCATGCCCTGAGTTTGCATCTCTGTTCGGAGGATCAAGTAGTTCTCAGACTGAGCGTCAGTCTGACAGTCAGTCAGTTCTGCTTGAAAAGCATAGTTGTCGTAGCCTCGCGCAGACACTTTTTTACTTTTTTTTCTCCTGGACGGAATTGCGGCCAGATGCATGCCGGTCCGGCCGTACATTCGGTCAGGTACTTTCAAGATACTGCTGGTGTGAGTACACTGCGTAGCCTCACTCATCAGACGCGTAGGCCTGTCCTTCAGGAATGATGAACTTGTTAGTCAGTTAGTTACGGCGGTTGCGCACATTAGACTGCTTCTGGTAATTGGAAATTTTATGTCGGTAATTAATTACACTCATGATCTATTAGACGGCACGTGAGTGTGTACTAAACGACCACGTGGCAGAGATAGCTATCGTTGATCCGTTTTTTTTTTTCTTTCCCAATCAGATCTGTTATTCCCTATGTACCACTCCTCCCCCCCCCCCCCCCCCCCCCCCCCCCCCGCCCACCACTAATTTTTGTTATCCTTTGTTTTTTCCCCTTCAGTTTTGTGTCCTTAATTTAGTTCAAGCGATGGTGTATTATTATGACCTGTTTCCGAGCGAGGTCTATGCGCATCGAGATTCTGTTTTTTTTTTTTTTTTAATACCGTATTGAGATTTTGCTCTCCACTATTTCCCTATTTTTTTTACCCTTTCTGCAGTTATTTCACCGTGTGCTGCGGCGATCCCGGCGGCATTGGTTCTAGTTGCGCGGTAGCTCCCCAGTTTTTTCGCGGTGTGCTGACGCGATCCCGGCGGCATTGGTTCCACTTGCACGATGGTCCCCACCGCCGCGTTTGGCCGTGGCTTTGTCCAAAACGGCCCTTGTAGGGGCTCAATTCGTGGTAGAGGTTTTCCAAATTGGTGGTAAGAATATTCGAATTTGGAGTGGCGCCAATTCGATTTCGCCCAATGGAATTTGGAATGGCGGCAATTCGATTTGGCCCACTGGAATTTGGAATGGCGCCAATCCATTTGAAATGGCGCCAATCGATCGGGCCCAATGGAATTTCCAATGGCGCCAATCGATTGGGCACAATGGAGTTTGCAATGGCGCCGATGGATTGGTGCCAAACGAATGGAAGCCTCTTCATCGGGCAGGAGCTCGAGAACCGCGCAACGAAAGAGGACAAGGAAATTCAGCAAGCAAATATTAGAGGAGAGAGATGTCGTCGGGACGTCTGTTTGTATTAGGGGAGTTTTTTTTTTTTTTTTTTTTTTTTTTTTTTTTTTTTTTTTTTTTTTTTTTTTTTTTTGAGGCAATTTCTTCATGGCTTAGGGGAACTGATTCCGCGTTTATGCGAACTTGGAACTTGTACAGCGAAATGGATTTTTTTTTCTTTTTTATTTTTTTTACTAGGGAAATGAATTATTCTGTTATCCTAACTCGGATTTATGAATGTGAATTTAAAGTAATTTCTGCCTGTATTTACGCTTTTTCAGTGCACTTAGTAGTGCATGCCTGTGAAAAACGATTTTCTCTCAGCAGAACTGATCAATCATATTCTTTAAAAAAAAATTGAAACGCTGGGAGGCAGTTGGAATTCTGAACAACTTCTCTATTCATGCGGCTCTTTTTTTTTTTTTTTTTTTTTTTTTTGGTAACTCCATCCAGAGTAACACTTTAGGAGGTGATACGAGCATCCTCCCAAAGTGACAACCTTTTTTTTTAGTGGGGGTCCCATCAATGGGGGTCATCCTTGCGCGAGCGCCATGCTAATCTTCTCTGTATAGGTCCAATTTTAACGCGGCCGAGGTCTGACTAACAAAAGACGATAGGATTGAGATCGTGAATCTGGAGGTGTTTTGTGCAGAGGTGCACAAAAGCATTTCACACTCGATTCCTTGCACCTCTCCACAAACACGTCCAGATTCAGGCATTCAATCCAATCCTGTTCGCTGGGTAGTGGGACCTCGCCCCCGATTTCGCAAACGAATTTTCTCCCTTCTTTTTGTTCTCTTCTTTTGAAGGGTGACGGCATGCAAATCGAGGTACTATGACAATTTCAGTCTCCCCCATGTCATTAAGAAATGTTTGGTTCTGTTCATCTCATTTCATCTGGGTTCGAACGTCAATGGGTCTATGTAAACTGTTCATGGATGTGCCAACTGAGATAGACGAAGTCCCTTTTTTTTTTCTTTTTTTTTTTCATCTCATTGCATCTGCAGCATGGTCCCTCTAGCAACCGGATAGGATAGAAAAGAGTTTGTGTGTCAGCTGAGTGAACCCAAATCCTGCCCGTGAGCAGTACTAGTGAGTGATCCCACGGTCAGCAGTTTTTTTTACATGTATTAATTACCCGAAAAAGTAAGGAAAGTTTTGTTCCCCTCCTCCACTCCTTAACACTGGCCATGCCCGTGCAAAGGAAAGGAAGCTTCCCGCCAAAGTCTTTTCAATCCGTTGGGGGTATGGCCAACCCCAAAAAAGAGGGTGGGATAGGCCACAGGCCCACTGGATAGAAGATTTTAAGTATTTTGCTTTTGCTGTTGTGCAATTTATTATGTCATGATTGGGCGGAGAGCGACAGTCCGGCAGGGACTGTCCACGCATGAGAACGAAAAGAAGAGATTCACCAATCACAACCGATTCGTTGCCCATGCATACAATCAAATCAATCAATCAGCCACGGCATACAATCAAATCAATCGATCAGCCACAGCATAGGGAGTGGAGTAGAACTAAGATACACCAGTAAAGGTCGTCACTCGAGAAATCCAAAGCCCAACGGATTACACACATCACACCACATCCACGCGGAGTATAGATATATAATCGGTGAGACTCCGACGAAACAGTTTGTCACAGCCCCTCGTTTGTTGTCCTCTTCTCGCTCTCTGCCTACGGTTTACCGGGCAGTTCTGTTTGTGACGACATATATATCGTCTCATATATATATATATATATTGTCCTCTTCTCGCTCTCTGCCTACGGTTTACCGGGCAGTTCTGTTTGTGACGACATATATATCGTCTCATATATATATATATATATATATATGGAGGGCGTTATGATCACTGCTGACAGACGTCGATTTTATTCCAGAAAAATGTGGCAGTATCACTGTTGTTGCAACCACCACCATCAGATCATTTGTGATCTGATGGCTGGGAAGCGCTCTGCCGTGATTTCAGGTGGGAGGTCTCTGTTTCTTTTTTTTTTCCGTGCTTTTCTTCTGTTTTATCAGCCCAGAAATTCGTAATGAACCTGTCAGGCCGCTGCCACTCAGTGTCACACTGCATCGCCCACACTCCTATCCGACTGCTAATGGGACCATGCTCCTGGATTCGAACTTGGGTCTGCATTTCAACCCTTCATGGGTGTTCCAGCTGAGACAGCCACGTTGGTCTGCTCTCCGTTTTCCCTTTTCTTTTCTTTTTTTTCTTTTCTTTCTTTTTTGGGATAATTTGTGATATACCCCTATAACTTGAGTCATATGCCAAAATGCCCCTGAAAGATGTGGGTAGAGCGAAATGCCCTTTTGGGCCTACATCTTTGTGTGTTTGCCCCTGTCAGGCCCGTGTGCAACTTTGCAATCTGGACTGCGACGTTGGGGCCTGGGCCTGCACCTTGTTTTACCCGGTTTGTCCTCCATACCACCTGGACAACTTTGTTTTACCCGGTTTGTCCTCCATACCACCTGGACAACTTTGCAGAATACCCAGGCCCGTAGGCACAGCAGTTTCCCTCCGCGATTCAAACTTCCAAAACACATTCCAAGTCTCTACCTCTGTCTCCCACTGTGTTGGGCAGCTTTCTTCATCGTCCTGGCTCCACCCTGGGGATAGGTCCCACTTGCACGAATTAAGAGATACTGACACTAGATAGCGAAGATCAATAGCAGAAAACTCCTAATTCGCGCAAGTGGGGCCTTGGCCCTGGTAGGGTTCCCCATCTCCAACTCCTCCTCCCCCCCAATCCTCCAAGTTCTCCTCCTATGACAGCCCTGACAGGTCACCATGTCTTAAATCCTCCTGCTGGTCACTCCTGCTCTCTCTCTCTCTCTCTCTCTCTCTCTCTCTCTCTCTCTCTCTCTCTTCCGCATGTGCCTGTCCAGCTATCCGGCTCCCGCTATCCCGCCCCGCTATCCTGCCCCGCTATCCTGCCCCGCTATCCTGGCCCAGCTATCCCGCTCCT